TTGTTCAGGGCTATCGCGAATTCTCATTGCAAGGTCTAGAAAATGAAAAGTGCGCATCCAACGTCAATACAGAAGAACGTACGTAAAGGAACAGAGCAATTTGGCGTAACTTAATATATATACTTTTGGTCTTGTGATAGCCACCAGACTTGTATGTTAACCATGGACGAGGCGGTACGAGCATCGGAAGCATACGTGGATGTATGGCGTCGCGGACACGATCTTTGGTGAGCAGTTCGATTAAGCTATCGGCGAATTTTATGATACCAATTCTTTTGCCTTTGATACATTCGTAGGTATGGTAAAATGCGGGCAGTTCGTCCTGTCTGATATCGAGAAGAGGAAAAGAGTCATGGCGGAAAGGTAGTTGATAATTTGTAACAAAGATGATCGCAGATGCCGATATTAACTGGTCTAAGAGGTGATAAATTCAACAACAATGCTTTCAAGAATACTATTACACTCGCTAGCGTCATCCAACAGATGGTACTTACATAGTTTCCACAGTCTCTTTGGCTGCCCTATTTGTGATTTTGGCTGGGACTTTTGCACAGCTTATTAGAAGTGAAACCAAAATAGAACCAACCTAAACGAAACACATATGGTGAGATTACGCAAGGCTAATGACATGATATTTAAGGTTATAGAATAAAGCCTTACCTTTGCTCTAACAGCTACTGGCCAAGAGGGTTTCCAGTCTGTACGGAGTTCTTCGTTGTGATATTTTTCGACTGCTCGACGGACGGCCATGTGAAATAACTTCCCAGACGAATATAATTCCTGTATCTTCAAATCACGTTCTATCTGTTCATAAAGACAACAATTCAATACGTTTATACATTTATGTCATGACCTGCGGTACTATTACAAACTTCACATTCAACTGCATGCTATCCCATCAAATCAATCATAATCGCCTACCATCTTCCTATTGTTTTTCTTCTTGATCTGCTCTGCATTGTACTCATTCTCAACTGCCTTTCCTACGGAAATGACCGTAGCTGCCGTCTTCATTCCATTAGTATATCCACTAATTGTTTGTAATCTCATCAATTCGAGAATAGTAACAGACGACAATTTCTCTGCCTTGAGTAAACGAAGAAATGGACCGTATTGTTTGCGTTCAGGGTCTAGTCATACAAATTCCATTAAGACAGCCAGATTATATACCTTCAATATGTGTTAACCAATGCCATTACTACTTACTTACCATCTTTAAAAATTTCGACTCGTTCAAGTTCTTCCGCAATAAGAGGAACGAGTTTGGTGTGCCAATCCCAGAGAATTTCCTTGAGTTCGGTCAATTTCTTGATTTTAAACCCTATACCGCGTTTGAGCATTTCTTCCGTTTTGACCTGCCACCGCTCTATGGCTGCTTGATATGCATTCTCTTCTAACTTCATTTGTCGTTCGAAATCGGATAAATCCTTCTCACTCACAGCTACAAGTTGTTCCTTCATTAATCTCACACCAATGGCCTATTTTTATAGATTATTACAGTAGATTGAGCAGTATCAATGATATTTGCCAACATTTGGTATAATTAGATGTCATTTCGCTGATATATTAGACATCGCTGACAGAATTCACGTATAAAGCATACATCAATAGCGATGGGGGATGAGCCCGCTTCCACTGGCTGTTCAACATCTTCTTCTTCATCAACTGAGATTTTTCTAATCGATTCCAATAATTCTTCCTGCTGGGCAGTTGAGAGGATATTGCCTTCCCCCTTTAACATCTACGATGAATTGTCTGCAATCAGTTTGAATTCAATTGCAAATGAATCAAATACCTAGTAATTCAAATTACCCGGACTAGATCATGTCGCTCTTTCTGTGTAAAGTTTAAGTGTTCGACCATCTGCTTAATAGGTATACCACTCATTTGCATCTGCTCAAGTACACCAGTCAACACAGCAACAAATTTATGGCCTCCTTCTTCTCTTTTCAATTTAAGGTTAATTATGAATTAACATTGTTGATACATATACATATTAATCAGCAATTGCATATCATACACTTACCTTAGAAATATTTTTGTGATCAACCCATAAGTGGACAGATCAGGCGCTATATTCACGTCATTCAAATACTGGAAGAAATTCACCACCTTTCTGTAATTAGGAGTTCCTGGTTCCTCCAAGAACGCTTCAAGGAACGCATTATACACTCTTATATCTAAAGCCTTACGCATTTCTGGTGCGCCATTCTTCTCCAGTCGCTCCAATATTTTTTCAGCACGGTCTATATGTCGTGTCTTCAAACAAGCGTGCATTATTGCCAATTGTTCCGAAAAGACTGATGGTTGCATGGTGCCTGGTCCTTTCATGCCAAGTCGAGTCTGGGGAAGAATTAACGGTTTGAATTTACTCGAAGAGGGAAATGAAGGCAGATCAGGAGGATTCTCAAGAAGATTAGAATGTGCTGTTGTTGACTGATGTCTGAGTAGAATATGGAGGAAGCATGGGAATCGGTAAGGACGATGGAAAGGGATGTGGGAATGATAAGTGCTGTGGTGAGAGGAAAGCGGATATGGAGATTTTCGAGTAAAGATCAGATATGAACGAAGATTATTGTTGGTCGTACGATGTATAGACTGGGAAGGACACCTGGATTTTGTAGTTCGTTGCAATGTGAACATTGTTTTATATAGCAATATGAATAAATGCGGTTTGGGAATCAATCTGATCGTCGGGTTTTAAAAAAAATTTTTTTGAATGTTTCATCAAATCAAGATCTCGGATAGGTCACCTGCTTCAAACTTTCCAATCGGGAAGCTAGCCACGATTTATGAATTGAGCGATCAAGAGACTACAGAAGTATCATTTCATGGCCAAAACGTGAAATAGACGGCTTAATTTTGCCCTATTCATTGTTCTAAATGCTGCCTTGTATAGAATAAATTGGGAAATGCATTTTTGACATTTTGAGGTTAGACCCCCGTTAAATTGTCACGCCACATAGTAATAGTAATAGAATTTCTACCCAGAGTTAATTATTATTACACATACAACTGGACCCTCCCCGGGCACGCGAGTCTCTTGTTCCTGGCCCCAGTCTGATGCGTTGTGTTGGGCGTAAGGCTAAAAGACCTTATCAGTGGCACAACTTTGTGTTTTGAGAGTATTGCATTCTATTGTGTTAGCCTACTAAACAAATGGTTCTCTTTAGTTCGGAAGAAGGTCAATATTTGCTCATGTAGAGACTGAGACTCTAGGAACCATAACAATGTGTTTTGTCAATCATTGGCTTGGCGAGAGTTCAATGGTATAGACTTTTCTGAATATTGATTAGTACATACGCTGGGTGTACCAAGTAAATTAACTCATGATTCTATCTTTATTATCAAGCTTGTCTGTTGTCGAGCCGAGATATACGGGAGAGCAATTGTATCACAACCTTGAGATTTAGCACTTTCAATCGAGGCTTGGCAAACCTCAACTCCTTCTAAACCTATAATCGACACGTTAATCACCTAACTACTGGATTTAAATACTCACGGCTCGTACGTCCGGTCTTGTATACACGAATCCTAGCTGGTTAATTAACTTCGAATCAAATTGTCTACCTTTGTCGGTGGGATTAATTCCGACCTGTGGGAAATGTTTCTTAACTATAAACGCGTTTCTCATTAATTAATTAGCCTTTCTGCCATCCAAGTAACCAACGGACAAGATTGATTACTTCACCAGTAGAGGGATTCGCGATTTGTGTTATGCTCCTATCGGGTGTGGTACCAGGTATACATTCGTTTGAGTTTCAGCAAATAAAAATACGATTTATTGAGTATCAGAGGGCTGCTCTATTATTACAATGTGAATGATCAAAGGATTGAAAATAAAGTGAAAATGCTGATGATCAAGCTGAAGCTGAAGAGAGCTAGCGAAAGCTATAACCCCTTACATGCATTCTTATCGTTTCACTAGCTACTGCTAATTTAGATTTCATACAGCGACTGACAATAGAATTTCTCGTCGCTTAGGTGACAGGTAAGCCTCATCAGTTCATCAATTAGCACTCGAAATAAAGGTAAGCCATACATCGATATGATCTATCATCGATTTAGAAACTTATCATCATGAAGTGATTGAAGCATATATGTTCTTAAAACGCTAACAATAAATTTATCAAACTTATTCTATGATCAATTGCTATTAAATCGTCTGACTACCATAAATGACCGAAACGTTCAAGTTATCATAATTTATAAATACAGCACCACTACCTTCATCACACAGAATCTTTACATAGACTTTTTAGCCACAGACTTTTCGTTTCTCCCATAATAAGCGTGTAGTAGAGGATGCGATAAGTACAGTGTGTGTACAACCGATCTGGCCAATCCCAATTGCGATTTGGGTCGATCCGATATCACTGCTTTTCTATCTAGGTTGTACTATTTGACTCGACTAATTCCCTTGCGTACAAAGTAGGTGTGGACATTGTGTTAACTTCCAGCAATGATCTACAATTGCTGTGATCACATGAGGCAGACTGCAACAACCAGACAAAGTGAACATTTTATTATGTGACATAAATGAGAGGCTAATTATGATGTGGCTGTAAAATTGACGATGACGTTTTGAAAAATAATAATGGTGCTCATTCATAACTTATGGACTTGTTAGTTTTAATGTTCACTTTATCATACCAGAATGTAAGAAATCTTACTATTACTTCTTCGTTACGCACCGTTGTGGATGTTGAGAATCTTACACTTCGTACGAGGATCAAAGCTGTGCCACTGCTGATCGAAATCCTTGCGTTACCATCGGAGCAGCGCAGAAATCTAGGAGGAATACATCACTAAATTCGACAGTATAAGGGAAACATTAGAATAAATCATTAGGAGGCAGCCGTTTGATCAGCAAATCAACTGTTTCATTCCATTTGCTATAATTAGCAATGCAATCGACGTCACCAGGATTTTTCAATTGTTCCAGATCTTCCCATATTAATATACTGTATAAACTCTCCCCTCAGTGTTTCGTGTTTCCCATGTCTCAACCGGCCGACTCAAGACGTTCCGCAAGGATAGCTGGGGAGGTCGCACCACCTCTTGAGCAACCTATTTCTCTGTTCTGTCTTGTGCAGGGCAAACCAACAGAGAAGGCATTTCCAGTTGATGTTGAAAAAAACAAAACAGTTGGCCACCTGCGAAAACTGATATGGAAGGAGACTCAAGAAACATTCAAGAACTTAGATGCCAAAGACCTCACTCTCTGGGCAGTCTCTGTACCAATAGGGGATGGAACAGTGCAGGTTGATTTAGCTCAGGTCGAGAAATGCAGGTTACTTCCCAGGTCAAAAATAGCTAATACAATTTCAGAAGATGATCTTGCTGATGAAGGCTTTTATGTCATTATAGAGCCACCAAAAGGTACTTGTTTGATATTATGCCAACGTTTTATCTTTTTTGCTAACTTTATCTCAATCACCATCTGTCTTTCATTTTGTTTATTCAATCCACTGTCAGACATTTCAGGTATGAATATATATTATGTGACTGAGCTACCTATCTTGATCTTTTCTGACTTGTATTCTTCGAACCTTCACAAGCTCCTACTATCATTGAATGCTGAATCCTGAATACACATAAAATCCAAGATGTGGATCCTCCATCAAGTACCTCACAGCCCAAGAAGCTTTGTAAGATACTAATACAGGCAGATGAGCTAGTTTTATGTGCTCATCCTGCTGAATGTGTTGGCCCACTGATATATATGTATAATGAGGTTTTTTCCAGGTTCCTATTTGACTACAATGATGAAGCTCTTGAGCTGTCTGCTACACTCTGTCAATGGACCATACAATTTATCCATTCTATGACTGACATCTTATGACAAGATCGCCAGTATACTAATAGAAATTTAGCAATTTGTTGGTAATAGTAACATCATGACAAGATGTGTGCAATATTTTTTGATTGTAAATGTCACGTGGTTATCAGCACAATGTCCTGCAAATCTCATCGAGACATTTTTAAAAAATGCAAGTTTCTGTAAAGAACCCTTTCCTCTTGATAGATTTCACAGTAATTTTTTCTTTATCTAGATATTCCTGGAGAGTTTGGGTGTCATTCATTTTAAAAACATATGGAGCAATTTTTTCTCCTTGCTCTTTTTTTAAAACACTTCTAATAGTGCTGTAATTCTTTGGTTCCATGGTGGATTTAATGTAAATTAGTTTCATATTTATATTTATATTAAATGTGTTATTATTTATAATGTCAAGTAAGAGTCTATTTTAATTAGTTGAGTGTCAGTCACATTTTTGGTATAGCAATTAATTAAAAAATGCAGTCCATGAATTGTGCATGAGCTACAGCTATAGATTGAGCAAGCATCACCAAATGTCATTAGCTAAATTAGTTGGGTTTCCAGCCACACCAACCATTTTGAGTTCATGTAATCAAATGTTCACTTTGTTTGTTGGTCATTATTATGATCTACAAGACGGTTAATAGGACACAAGCCACATGGAATTTAAACATATTTGAATGTGCGTAATGTAGATCCATGCAGGTAATAGTATCTCCATATACTTTATTCCAGGCTATTCAAGCTCTTTATTGTACCTCTATATGCTATGCATATACTGTATGTTAAAACTAGCTTTAGCAGTTTATCTGTAATTAGACAATAAAGTTCTAAAATTAAAAAAAAAAATATAGTAAAGTGTATGCAAATTCAGTTGAGTTTTGCGGTACAACGAAAAGATAAATACAGTGAACTACTGTTTATATTTACGCACGTATAGTCCCTTCGTTTATAGTCACCATATGAAAACTCTGTCTGTAGTCACACTCTCCTACATTCTCTCTAGTGCCAGTTTTATAATAGAACATAAAGAATTTACTCTGTCTATAGTCACATTCACCTTCTTTTTTTTTCAAAATTTGAATTGTACCAAAATGGTGTGACTATAGCAATAGACAGTAATTCACTGACACAGTATATAAAGTGCAAGCAGAGCGAAAAAAAAAGTTTTTAATTTTAGAAGACGAAATAAGCTCCGTGTGTCAGCATTATCTTAGACTAATCCTACTAACGAGCAGAACTTCAAGCTATTTCCTCTATCGGCAAAACGCTTTAGTAAAAAAAAAACAACAACAAATGAACAGACAAACAAACAAGCAAGCAAACAAAACCTGTTATCGGGGACTACTAGTTGTTAGAATTGTCGCGGATATACAGTATTAACAACAGGTATACACCTGCCCATCGCGCGTGTTATCAAACGCCTCCAGGATCCCATCTGCGACGGTATAATAGTCGAGCTTTTATATTAGCCTGAATCGGTTTCAAACGCCTCCAGGATCTCATCTGCGACGGTATGCACGTAATAGTCTGCAATACCGTCTCGAGACGTTGTTTTGTTGTTGTTTGTTTGTTTGTTTGTTTGTTTGTTTGTTTGTTTGTTTGTTTGTTGTTTTTTTTTGATTTCCAGTTAATATTATGTAATTAAATATACGTGTATTAATATGGTTTTACCTAAGTTTGTATTAACGTGATAATGAAGGAAAAAGTGTGTTAATAAGGCGGTTTGCTATATCCTCGGAAAGTATCCAGCCAGCTAAAGAATTTTTTTTATTTTTAATACAAATATAACATTTAATACTTGGTCTGAATTTTCCCTTTTTATTTTGATAGTAACCTCTCTATAAACACATTATATAAAAACCTCGTTATCACCATGTTTGAGAACAAATTACTATTAAAATTGTAGGGAAAAAAAACTCTATATAGTTATAACCTCTTTATAGACACATTTTCAACAAAAGTTGCATTGTTTCCGACAGCGTGACTGCAGACTATACTTAGCTCGGTAAGAATGTGCTGTTATAAACATAGATAAAACATAAACGGCAGGCTTTAAAGATAAAAAGTAAATAGTTTACTCTGCTTTATCCCAATCAATAATCAAATCACGACTCTTTCGATAGTAATAGAAAAAATTGTATGCAATTTTCAAAATACATTTGGTTACAGAAAAAAATAATAATAATAGTCCTCAGGAAAAATACAGTCTATAGTCGCAATATATTTATTATTATATTTTCTACCAAATTACTTCTTTAATAAGCAATCTAGCGATTATTACTACTCAAGGATTCAAAAACATACATCTTCCGACGGAGCATATTAACTTAGCAAATGATTTGTGATCAAAGCCTCCGCAATAATTACTCCGTTAGCTATCATTTGATCGATCCAGATGCTCGTTGCCTCTGCCAACAAAGGAAATTTAACTCGACGATGTTTAAAAAAATTTTTTTAACCACTCCTCAATACCAAGCCATTTATCTTTCTTGTTTATACAATTGTCCGATCAATTGAAATAAGCTACTCCCCTGACATAAATCACGAGATTTTTTACCAATATAGGAATGCATAATTTTTTATAAAGTTTCAAGTTTGAAATTCTCAACAATCTATGTAGCAATTCACGTCTGGTTTTTTTTTTTTAATCAAAATGTTATATCAATGAAGTTTGTTCAACTTTTTTAATAACGTGTAGGATGTCACGGCACTCCATACTTTCAACTAAATTTTATAAACTGATTCATCTATGTTAGACTATTCCTCTTGCAACAGATTGAACGGTTTAGTTTCATTTTTTGGTAGAGGAATACGTTTACGAATGCGACGCTCTAATTTATCCCAAATATTCTCGATAGGGGCTTTGCACGGGCCAGGTAAGTTGATCAATATTATTCTCTGAAATTTAACGCAAAGTTGACCTTGCTCGATGAATTTGAGCGTTGTTATCTTGAAATACATAATTATGTTGATCGTCCAACTCTCTTAAATAAGGTAGGAAATGGTTAGTTAAAACATAATGTAATAATTTGCAGTTTGTTTACCGTTAACTCGAACTAGAGGACCCAATCCAAATGAACTAAAACATCCCCAGACCATGACTTCCTTACGACCTGATTTAAAGGTTGGAACCAAACAGTTAACGTCGTATTTCGTTTTGGGTTTTCTCCAAACATAATCATGACCATACCCCAGATACTTTAAACCGGGACTCATCGCTTCATATGATGAGTTTCCACTCCGTCTTCCAGTTGATTCTTTCCCGTGACCATCCAAACGTATTTTCGTTAACGAAAGGTTTCCTTTTGCCAACGCGACCATAAAACCCTTCTTCATACAGATAACACGCGAGGAAACATTGGTAGAAGTTGACTCGATAAATTCATTAGTTTAATTATTTAGGGAAGCTTTTCTATCTGCCCTTAATAAACTGTTATAAGTGAGTCACATGATAAAATCTTCCCTACGGGTCAAACAAACCCATGATCGACACTAATTTTAGTCTATCTAGGAAACAAAAAACGGTTCGAAAAATCTGGACGGTACAAACGCTATAATAATTAATTGTTTCTCCAGAACAGTCAAAAAAGCGCTTCACTTTTTCTGCGCCGCTTAAAGATATATAAGTAGCTCTTCTTCCATCGTCAAATCTTCATGTTGTCTATATTGAATGTGAATGTTGTTATTCGAATAAATCAATAATACTATTGATCTTAGTAGTATTCTCCCAAAATTCTTTATATTAATATACATAATTTATTCTTCTATCGTCAAAATAATTGATTATTAGACCAGACACTCCAATAAACGGCTCACTTAAGCTGTAACGGAAATTAGCATTGATTTGATCAAAGCTATATAAGCTGCCCGCGGATCAATTACAAGAGTTCATAATTAATTATCGAGACGATTGTTGTTTAATTTGTTTAGAGACAAGTGACGGATACCGACTAGTTGAAACACAAATCGAAGTTAGCCCTGTTAATTATTAAATAGTATAGAATAATTGTTGTTATTATTCTATTAGAAGTCTTATTTGTATTCACGAGTGTTTGAAACTCGGATAGGGAGTGAGAAACGCGCATAATTAATAGGTCACTTGTAGGCTTAATTCAGTCTTAATTGCACAACTATCGTAGTAAGGGCGATAGTACGAGCTAAGCCTGGTAACATTCCCCGGTCGGCGAACACACCTACACGAAAGATAAATCGCTCTCCCAAAACCCCCATTTAATTCCCGACCGTAACACAAATGACTCACGCAGTTGGTCAATAAGGCAAGATGTTCTTTCTCAGACATTGGATAATGTTAATTAAGGCCTTGATGGACTTCATGACTAGAATACAGACAAGATGCGACAAGCAGATCCCACACCTGCTCAAAATCTTCTGATTTAATAAAATCTCTGAAACTCCAAAGCCTTAGGTTATTCCATGGTATTACACGAGAGTGATGAACCATCAATCCACTCCATATGTGTCATTCATATCAACTGTGCAAAATAATGTTTGGTCTGCACCATTCCTAACCTCTGGCTGAGTCTGAGCAAATATTAGCTAGTTGCAACAATAATAACATCCACAATGCATTCATTGTTCTTTGGGTTAAGGTCTTTTTCGATGATTTGTTCAATATTGCAGATCGAAGAAGCATTCTTTGGTATATCATCGATGACTTCACATCAATGTCCCATGTACCTATTCACCACAGCTGCCTGTGTGCACAGTGAGCACAGACAACCCTTTGGAACGGATAATCGAACGTTCACACAAGTAATCATTTAACAATCAGGTCCCCAACTACTTTTCGTGTGTATCCTATTCACCACAAAAGCTCATGCTTTTTTGTTGGTAATGGTTTTCGATTAAGAAGCACAACGCGTACTTCGAAAACTACGATTTACACCTAGTACTAGTGGCAGCGTCCCTTCAGATACACACATACTAAGTACCCTCACGACAAAAAATTACAAGTGTGGCCATGGAGAGCTTTCAAAATTATCCGGCTTTTATACCTAGTGGCAGCGTACCTTCGGATACAGACCCTCAACAAATTTACCCAGTAAGAATTCTTACCTTGAAAGTGAATGTGCGACAAAGGTCTGTTGCGTTGGTTATGTGGTCGATAAACTGTATCGTTGTTCAAAACGAGTTGTAGCAAAGTGCTATATGTATGAGTAGACGCGTTAGACATCATTCCAATGATATTATTAATATGTAAAGTACAATCTTATTAACATACCTTAAGAGTTATGTATTTATTGAGTGAATGAATGGATACTTGTTAGCGACTTGGTCGTTTCATAACGTTACCCAAATCACGTTCGCACGTCAAACCCTCATCCGCGGCATATTAAGACTTTGATAATGCACTCTCCGTCTACCATTAGTAAACGTCAACCCTCATCGCGTTGAGGTGGCCACATATCAAGACAACAGTTTTCCGTCATGCCGAGGACAGAGTTTGATAGTACACGAAAAAAAAATTTTTTTTTACCACCCGACCATTAATCCACACTTGCTTCAATATTACTTTTTTTCATGCAAGTTTAAGGAATGAACATGACTTGCAAAAAGTTTGATCAATGTTAAAATAGCCCACTCATTTGTTTAAAAAGTTTGGTCAGTGTTATAGCACTTATCAGCCTTGAGGCATGCGCTTCAAATGTTTGTCACAGTAATAAATTAATTTTCTTGATTAATGTTATAGCGCCTATTTGTTTGAGGCGTGCTACTTCAAACATTTCGTAGTCACTGGTAGACCAGTTTTTGTTATATGCGCACTTAATTTTTGCCAATATGGCACTTTGCTGTTATAAATGTTGCCCTCTCCCCCCTCTCTTCCCTCCCCACTTACCATACAGTAGTTTACCGCAACAGAAACGTTAGTTTGATTATAGTGATGGGTTTGGCTTCGACAACCGGTTTCGTTGAGGAAAAAATCTTGTTGCCAAAAATTTTTTACGTTTGAGAAGACGCGACAGTTCCTGTGGACACGCAGGTATACACTTCTTTTTGAAAATTATCACCATTTGCTAACGTGGCTGTTTAATGTTATAGTGACTTCAGTTTGATAATAGCTTTGGCTTCGGTAACCAGTCGTCGTTGTCTTGTCCGCGAAAAAGTTTGTATTTGCGACGGCTCACAGTATTTACCCCCCCCCCCTTTTTTTTTTCTCTCCCATTCTCATTTGTCCTTTTTGGGTCATTGTCTTACATTATTGCATAATCAAAATTGCTCTTATTATTTGTTACTTCCCACTTCCATTGTGTATAATGATAAGAAATTAATCTAATTTTGGCAACTTGCCCCTATAAACTTGTCAGCGCGCTTGTTACTTTTGTTACCCATTTTCTCAAAAGTATGACTTGTAGTCCTTCGTAGAGCCCTTAAAATTATCGGCCTTGTTTGTCTATTACTATATGGATGCATTAATTTTTTTATTATAAGCGTTATTGTATAAAGACAT